TAATTGTTCGAAGACTTATAAACTCTTCAGATCCTTGAATCATAACCTTAAACTGTAGTGTTGCCTCAACATATCATTGACCACCGTAAAAATAGTAAGATAAACCATTCAATGCTTATGCATTGTGATTAAAGAGCAGTATGGGTGCATCGTTGAATAAATTATTGAAGTATCTTTGAAACTCAGGTTTTTTATTTATATAACACTAACTGTACCTTAAATATTTAATAGCATTTAGAAAAAATGCATTTACCTCTTACATGGGATCTCGATTCTTTTTTGTTTATTGATGGTGAGTTGTCTCTGGTTTTGTAGGCTTGTGCTGCCCTCGCTTAGACACCTCCTGCCTTTGCCATGAAAGCAATGTTGTTGCTGGTGAATGTTGAAGCGCATTCAGTGCTTATTGGACGTGCATACCTGCTGTGGATTAAATAATTTTCTGTCATAGTAAGTGAGCAAAGAATAGGAATATGATGCTGTATAAGTGGTGTTTTGCAGGGTACAGGTTGGACAGATGTTTAGCCAGGCAACTTTGGAAGTAGTGGAGCTATTACTGCTGACTGGAAGTTCTAGGATCAGAAGCCTCGTTCTGGACAGTGGAAATAGCGTTGCTCCCACTTCAGGAAGACCTGTAGAACGTTTTGCTCCCTCCTTCGTTAGAGTGCTACTGTGGTTTATTTGACCATCGTTTAAAGAGCAGTGATTTCATGGCTGTCCTCTGTCTTCTGCTTGTTCTGTTAGAAACAAGCACTTAACCTTGCAGTATTAGTGATCCTCTTTCAGTAAGTGACACAGTATGCATTCTCTTGCTTGTCTTTTTTCTACTAAACTTTTAAACTCTCCTGTCGTGTAGTTTCTAAGGAGATCAATGATGCATTTGCTGTGATTTAGAAAAGGTTACCTATGGATAAGCTTCAGTCAGTTACAGTTTGTTTTGAAGTGGTGTTTGCATGTTGAATTCTTCCTTAAGATAGATCTGAACTAAGTAAAACACAATTCTAATTTATTAACTTAGCAGTTTGAAGAACAACAAAACAACTGCTTTTAATGTGTTATCTGATCAAGTGCCTTGCTGCAATGAGCTACTTGTGAAATGTCAAATGTGATTCATCGTCTAGGTCATGCAGAAGGCTAACTGTATAAAGATCAGTTGAGGAACTGAAATTGGTGAGGAACTAGAGACTTTTTGATTCATCTTTTCACCCCACCCCTTGAAGAAAACGTGCTGCACATGTTGTATTGCATATGAACTTTGGTGTAAAATTCATTAGTGTTCTGTAATTCATCAGTGTATCAAGAGATTAGTTACTGGTTTTTGACTCAGGCTTCAGTGAATAACTTCACAGCAGAACTTTAATGGTGGTCTTAACAATTCCTTAATATGTTTCTTTGAGTTTTGATAAATTTGGTATTATCACTGTTAGCAAGCCCTTAACCTCAGGAGTTGTCAGAAAGCTGTTGGCAGTAGTAAAGTCAGTTCCTACACTAAGTAAGTATAAATAATAAGTAATAATGAGGCTAAGAATGCACAGCATACTGAAGAAAGTGGGCAGAGTCTCTCTTTCCTGCCTGCAGCAAGTGGGAAAGGCTATTCTGTCTGTGGTGAGGTGATAAATGGTGTGGATGAGATGCTGTAGAAGGAAAATATATTAGAAGGAAGAAGACGTATGAGAGGCTAAGGAAAGGATAAAGAAAGAAGAGGTAAATGGAAAATAAAAGTCTCTGCATTGGGGGGATGTGACTGAAGAAGCTGGAAGGTGAGATTAAAGTTAGTCAGTAAAGTTCTGTCATGCTTCACTCACACGTATCAGCGGTAGTATCCAGTAGAGCAACGCATGGAAATGTACATAGGTACATATTCACCCTGACTGCCTGGGAGCTTCTGGTAAAATACCGGTGGTGTTTAATGCTGCAGGAGTGGCGTACCACTGCCCCCTAGGAGATGTAAGTGACAAAGTGACACAGTGCTTGTTGAGCCCCGTGTATAGCAGTCACTGCAGGGCTTCTTAAATCAGTATTTCTAAAAGCATTTACTGACCAGCATTGAGGGGAAAGGGAAAGGTGTTTGTTCCATGTCATCGCTTTGTTTTGGTTGTTTTGGTTTGTTTTCTTTTTTTCATCACAGCTGACAGGGATTTTCCAGAAAAATGAGCAAGTCAAAAGATAAGTAGTTACCTTGATGCTTATTTATCTTGAAGCATTTTAAATCTGTGTTTACTGGGTATAGTTCATAGTTGCATCATAAGAGTGTACACTCTACACCAAAGTCTAGCCAGCCACCTTCTAGGGAATTAAAACAATCACGTACCAGTGAAGACATGAAACCTGTATTTCTAATTAAAAATGTCCTTATTGTGAATGCTGTTGCCTTAAATGGAATTTGACTAGTTCACACCTTTCACAGAAAGAAAAGAGCTGTTTGGAATTTACTGTGACAGTTATTTATTCTGAAGCTTAAATGTCCCCTGTGAGAGACTGCATTACCAATAGCATCGGTGCCACAAAGCTGGGTTAAGACTTCAGTGGAACTGTTCTTTACCACAACCTGATTTCCACTCTTGCCTATGACTTGCAGTCTTGTTTAACCTGTGAGATGCTATGCATGTAAGGCAAAAGATGAAATTGTCTTTCATAGCTTCATAATAATACAATTATCAATTATCTAACATGATATATAATAAATATATATTTCAGATGGTTGTTGAAATTACTTTCTTGCAATTATGTTCTTTATTGCTGGTTTTGCATGTTCCCATGAGGATATATTTAATTATTTTTTACTGAGAAGTACGCTGCAGCTTGATGTTACAGTGTGAATTGTGTGGCTCTAGTTATTTTCTGTGTGTTTCTTTTTGTCCTTTATAGGTGTATCCAGATAAGTTTCAGGACAAGTTTGTCTCCTCAAATAGTGTTGAGGGCTGTACTAGTTTTCCTTTGAGAATAATTTACTAAATTGTAAAGGTGCTTTTAAAGACATTTATACTTTATTAACCTGTTGGTTGGTACACTTGACCTGCGCTGGTTTTCATTGTGTCTTAGTTTTGAGGTGATTTGCATCTTCTCTTGGCAAATTAAAAAAAAATATTTACTAATGTGAACAGCTTTACAGTTAGAGCTGCCCAGGGGCAGTTCTTGCCTATACTGGCTAGTGTGCTGATGGTACAAGCTTACTAATTTCCAGAGGGATTTTGAAATTCATTAACGGTTTGGATTTTGAGTTCTGGATACTGTTTATAAATTTCTCAAAGACAGAAGCAATATTTGCTTGCATCAGTTCTGGAATAAACTCAGTTGAGATACTGCAAGAAATATTTCACTTTGTTTTGAAGCAAGAACGCACTCATCATTCTTTGAGGTTTGTAAGCTATTAAAGGCTGCCTCAGACATCTCTTGCTAAAAAAATGCTGATGTGGAAGTGTCTGCTGAGGAAATATTACTGCATGCCTGTTTTTTTATTTCTGCTTTTCTCAAAGCTTCTGCTTTGGATGCTTGTTTTGTGTGTGTGGGGGTAAGAGTGAGAGGTATCCTCTGGAAGCACTGTGATATTGGAGGAATGTGGGGAATGGCTTGAGTAAGGCTTCCTTGTCTGTGTCTCAGCGCCGAAAAATCGATTTGCTGTAACATGGTACCGTCATTCCTGTACCATACATAATGCAAACAGCAAAGCTCTTAAAACAGTTGCCAGAAGATCTACTGCAGAGGTTTAGAAAGCAAAGGCATAGAAATAGGTCAATAGCAAAGCTCCAGTGGAACTATCATCAACATAGCTGGCTCTGGCTGGGAGTGAAGTTTTCCAGTTATTATCTTATCTTGCACTTATGCAAGTCTGTCTTGCTGTGTATTTTTAAGTGTCCATTCTTTGTTCTTTTGTCTTGAAGCCTCATATCCTGGTTTAATTTGTTGGGTTTTTACTGTTTTAAACTGCAAGGCTCCAGTAATTTTTATTTTGTTATGTATGCTCACTCATTTGTCTCCATCCATTAAATTTCATTTTCGTCTTTCCCGTTGCAATTTCTGCACCAACATGATGTAGGATTGCTTGAGGAGCAAAGGATCAACAAGATCACTTCAGGAAATGCATTTTGTGTTTCTCAGTCATGCTTCTCCAGCGTCCGTTTTCTATGTGAAACATCATTTCTGTTCTGCCTCTCAGCTGAGACAGATATTTTGGATATCTTTGGAGCAAAGTTTGATCTCTTTCCATGTGCAAGCATCTAAATACTTATTTATGGTTTAATTCTTAGTTCTGTAAGTTATTTCTAGTCGTGGCTTCCTGAAACTGTGTTTTCTGTTGCTTGGAAAACATCTCTGATGCTTATATTAGTGCCACAAATTATACTACTGTGATGACTGTGTTCAGTGTTGCTTTAGTGCTGTATAACGGTAGCCCCGTATATATAAAATTGCCTATGCTGATTGCTGGTACCATAGTAACTGCAGTAAAAATATTTGAGGATAGAAGTCTGAGCATGATGTGTCATTGTAGAAGTTGGGCAAGAGTACTGGTGGAGGTAGAGATAAGGGATGATCAGAGTCAAAGCAGGGATCAGGAATACTGATCATGCAGAAGTGACTGTGCACATAACGCTGATTTATATTCTGATTTCTAAATCACAGGTATGTTCTACACAACTGCTTACACAGTGTGTGCATGTTACTAATTCTCTTGTCTTGCTCAATTGTTCACTGCATCTGTTAAATTCCTTTGGGTTACCAGTCATAAATGGGGGTGGATTCCTAGTGAAAAGGAAGCAGACAGATTTTAACTAAGGCCAAAAAGACTTGATTTTTTTTTTTGAGATGAAACTTGTGTAAAATCAATGTGCTGAGGACAACTGAGCATCCCTGAAAAAATCTGAAATGCATAAACCTGGAATTTAGATGGAGGGGAGGTGAAATATACCTTGGTTTTTCGGGTCGGTAAATAAATCCTAATAATAGAATGCAAGATTTGTATTTGGTTTGGTTTTTTTAATCTGAGTATTTTTGCCATTTTAAAGCTTTCTTGCAGTTAGAGAAAAAAGAACAAAAACTAACCATCGATCAGCCATCCAAAGGAACAAGGAAAAATTATTCTTTCACAAATGAAGAAGTAAGACAGATTGATCGGGAAAACCAAAGGTTGCTAAAAGAACTGTCCAGACAGTCTGAAAAGCCAAGAAGAAGTACCACAGCGAAGAAACCAGCTTTACCACCTCCTAAACTGTACCACACTGCCCTCAACAGGCAAAAGGAGCAGCAAAGAATTGAAAGGGAAAACCTGGTGAGTTCTGAGAACTGATTTGGATCAGTAAATTGAGAAGGACTGTTTGTTTTCAGATGAACTACTGCTGCCTACTCTACAAAACTGGTAAGGCAGCACTTGGAGCTTTACTGCAGTAAGTCTTTACTGTGCTGTTTGTGTTACTGTTTGTATGGTTTTTTTGGGAGAAAAATAATGCTTTTTCCAGATGAAAATAGATTTTACTTTATATTAATTTGCTCTACTTTAGTATCATTCTGTTTAAGAGGAACAACCGTTATAGTTAACACATAACTTTGGAATAGCAGTCTGTTCATCCTGTTTCATGATTGCTGCTCTCTCAAGAACAGGCTTGTGAAAAATAAAGCAGTTGGTCTGATAGCATCAAACCCATTATATTTGAAATACAGAGGATACAATGTGAATGCTAGTTTTGTTTTTTGACTCATTTTATAGCTATCCCTCTTTTTCAACATTTGTGGCTTTGTTTTCAGTTTTTGCTTGTCACAGTATTTGAATGTAATGGCAATCACAATAATTTTAGTGGAAAACAGAAATTCAAGCTCATTTGTAAGGATATTTGCAGACTTGTGAAATAAAAATAATACTGTTTTGAATAAGATGTTTTTAGTGATTGAGTTGTAATACATATAATGACATTTTTGTATCTCCTGGTTGATTAGTGTGTTTGAAAAGGAGATAAAATATAGTTAAAATATTTGGAGAATTTATAGTGGAAGTAATTTAATAACTTTTTTCTTCTGTGTAAATGTAGATTTCCTTTTACATAGATGGAGATAAAGATTCAACATGGGGAAAGTCTAATTGACCTATTCAGGGAAATCTATTAGGTTTTAGTTCTCCTAGCTTTCAGACATGTAGATTGTTAAAACTTTTCAAAGTAGGAAACTTTCTCCCTGGCTCTACTAGAGTACAGTTGACCAAAAGAACGTTATATTTCATGCACTGAAAGAATACTTTTTGTACATGTGTGATACTTCTCATTGTCTGTGGAAGAAATGTTTTTAGATTTTGGTTTTTTTAGGTTGGTTTTAGGTTCTTCATGTGTTGTGGGAGGAGTTGGTTTTTTGTTTATTTAAAATGTTTGAAGCAGAACCTGCTTTTCCACATAAACCTTGATAATATGAGTGCATTCTTAGGCTGTGGGGAGGAAGTGCTGTGTCACACGCATGTGTGATCTAATTGTAATATGCTGTACTACATAACAATAGATGATTACTGTTGTATTAATGTCTCTGATATTTTACAATACACTTCTGTTTACTCAAAGCCACAAACCTTTTCTCTTTTGATATATTGCAATATTTTGTCCAAGAATGTCTTGCCTTTGCAACTTTTGGATCAAAAATTCAGCAAACCTAAACACATACAGTCATTTCACACGTTGCTGGCTTTTAGTATGTGTTGGAGATTAATGGTGCTTGCTTGTAATTTGAGAAATAATATCCTTCATTTACTTATTCATTTATGCTTTAGTTGCTGTCATCAGCAACCTGAGTGGACATGTTTGACAGCAGAATCATTCCTTAGAATTTATGTAAGGACATCATGCTGTTTTAGACTATGAAAACATTTAGTTTATTTGTTTCCCCAAACTCAGGATGATATATTCTGCTCTTCTTTTTGGAAGAGTGATTCATCAGTACAGCTCTTACGTTTTGTTTGACGTTGATATAATTTCTGAGCAATTCTGCTTACTTTTTTATTCTGTTTGAAGTATATGCACACCTAGAGCATCACCGCTGTAAAACTGATTTTTCCAGCACTAACTTTTGGGATTACAAGTGAAACCTCCTGGGTCTAGTGCTAGAGACGGTAAATGAAAGAGCTGCCCTACCCTGCGCATTGATGAGACATTTTTGCTTTATATAGCTGAAAGTATGTTATTTGTGAACATGTTTTCTTCTGGTCAGCAGGCCTGAGGTACTTTATGCAGGATATCCTGCTTGATACACATTTGTGAAATGTTTGTTGGAGAAGGTTGCAGGATTTTGTAAATAATTCAAGAATAGAAATCTACATCAGTAGTCTGTGCAGAGAGTCAAAGAAATTTGATGGAGAGATTTTTATTTGTTTTCCTGTTGGATTACAGCTTTTATAATTTCTTGTCCTGAGGTTAACACCTTGTCTAGGGAAAACTTTTACTTATTCTGATAGAACATTCTTGGAGTAATGCCCATATTGAATGTTATCAGAAAGACAGCTTGATTTCTGGTGCAGGCATTTGGCATCAGAGGTGATGCAAGGAAAGTAATTCAAATATTAGAAAACTAGAGATGAATCTAAGTGGTTTAGAGCTCTCTAGTTTTGTGAAAGGGTGCAAGGAGGTACAGGGAACATATGCTGCTCCCACAGACTGCTAGAAAGAGCTGTGATGGAATAGAAAGGTGCATTGCTCCTAAGAACAGTGGTTACAAAGCCACGATTAGCAATTTATGGAAAAGACACAACAAAATAGATCACTGTTAAAATTAATGTCAGAATTTTATACTTGCTGCTTTTGAGTCTGTGCTTTCATAAGTGGAACCTGCTTTTAATTGCTTATCTGAGTTAGCGGGACTAGAATGCCTCTCTTGCCGATAGAGGATGCTGCTGATTCAAAAAACATTCTACTCTTGTGTTTGAAGATATTCCCAACCCCAGTGAAAAGGGACATAAGTCTAACTGATGTGCTACTTTTTTCCCATGTCTGCATATATGTGTGTCTATCTGTATTGACATATTAGTCATTATTTCTGCCAGTATAAATAAAATACTCAGCTTCATAGACTAGACACTACACACCATTTAAACTTTTAGTGAATTATTCTGTTGTGCAAAAATCTCTACTGGTATATATAGGTAAGTATTTGGGGATGGTGAAATACAGATTTGCAGGCACTACACCATTCTTCAGTCACTTCATCTAAATGTAGAATAAATTTGTATCTGTGTGTCGGTTTTTGTTGGGTTTTTTTAATTGTTTTTATTAATTCTGACTAGGATTTAGGTGTTAGATGACCATAGTGAGCTAAGCCGCTCTGTTCAGCGAGGTTCCTTGGGAGCAAGTGACCTTTTGAGTTCATACTGGAAGTTCACTGGAAGATCTCAACAAGTCTGGGATAGCAGTTCTCAAACTGTAGATCAAGGGGGGTGAGGGTGTTCTCCTTTTTTGTAGATATTTGGTCTTTCCACACATCCCTGTGTGTTATTCTTACCCCATGCTGTTATGACTTACTGCACTCACATAGCACTCCATGTCGTTTATTCCCCCACCTCATAGTCCCTCAAAATGTACCCTAAGCCCCAGCAGATCCAACACTGATCCCAGTTCCAGTATAGTCACCTCCCTGCAAAATTAAAAAACAAACAAACCAACAACAAACCCCCAAACTTCCTGTCTCTCTCTGCAAGGACTATCTTTATCTTTTCACCTACTTGGCTTCTCAAGTTTTCTCTGCTGCAGATGTCATGAATGCTTTTCCCCATCACCTTCTGTAGTCATCGTGGCCTCTACCAGCATGAAGATCCTTCAGCCAAACTGATTCCCTTCTCTTGCAGTCTGGGCTGCCTTTGTCTTGCTGGAAAACCTGAACCTCCTTTAGAAATGCAAGTACTGTACTGCTATAAATGTGAATGTTCGTTTGTCTCCACTTGATTTAGTGGTACAGGTGGGCTGTGGCAATTGGGTGAGGAGAAAAGGGCGAGGGAGGGATAGTGTCTCTGGCCATCCCCCTAAATGGCTGCCATGACATACAAACAATATACCATCTTGAGCCACAGCCTTGAATCCCGTGCTGCACTGCACCTGCCCTGGCACCCATGTCATGACACAAGCAGGGAGATAACTTCTCCCTTCCAACCCAAACCATTCTGTGATTCTATGCATGGAAAGAAACGGGGCGGGGAGGGCACTGGTCCATCAGAGCTGTGCCTGGGCACCTCATACTTTCCTCCCTCAATGTATTACACATTGCTTTTTCTCTGCCTTCCCTTTGTCCCATCCCAAGGACCAACCCCTGAGTCTGAGAGCATCAGACCTTGGACACTGTATACTTATGTGGTTGTAGAAAGCATACCAAGGTTGTTCAGCCTTACTGGTCTCAGTCTGGAGAAGAAAGCTGTAGCCAATACAGTTGTAAAAGAGAATCTAGTCTTCTGGGTCTTCTTAGGAGCTCAGACATGTTCATGTTGGGTTGGTGACTCTTCAGAAACTCAAGCACACAGGGCTTTATGAGATATTTTCACTTACTGGGTTCAAAGCCATTGTATGCCAAGACTAAGGACAAAATGTTGGTAGTTCCTGAGATTACAAAGTGCAATGCAAAAAAAAAAAAAAAAAAACCCCAAAAAACCCCAACCACAAACAAAAATAATTTTAAAAAAACCCAACCAAAACCAAAAATGTTTCCATGGCTCTCTTATCAGGGGAAGCCATCAGGATGTGGGATTGGCACACAGGTGTACCAGGCTAAAATATACTGCAGTACAGTGCAAATATGGTGCAATTCTGTGATCATAGTATTTAGGCTATAGGTTCTTTGTGGTCAGTTATTTTTGTGGTTTGTTGATTCCTGACTCAGACTCAAGATTCCTGAACACTGCTGTGGTAGTTATAATAAAGACTGGCTAATTGGCAGGTTCAAGGAAAGTTTTGGTTATTTTGCACGCTGCTCAATTTAGTGAGATTTTTTTTTTTTAATACTCGGCCTACTTTCTTTATGTTGATGCCAGCCATACATAAACTTGATGGCTGTTCAGTTAAAAAGACTGCTCTGTAGGTTTAAGAACATTTTTTTTTGTGGTTTTTGACATTTTCAGCTTATCAGGTTAGAGTTAATTAATGCAACTGGCAATTGAAGAAAATTACAAATACTTGTATTGATAAGAACAGAAAGCTATCCTTGAATGCACTGATATCTACTGCCCCCTTCCCCCACCTGGACTCTGCAAAGGGACAGTGTGGTCACTAACATCAGTGACATTAGAGGAGGCATAATATAAATAAATTTGAACAGCTGTTAAGGCAGACTAGTCAGCTGGTTAGGATTCAAAGGAGGTGTAACTGAAGCCTTCATGCATTTAAAAAGTGAAGTAAAACAAGAAAAAACCCCACGTTTTACCTTCTCTCTGAACCCAATTTAGGAGTGCTGCATTTTCAGTGGGTTTTTCCCTTATTTTTAAACATAGCTGCAGAAAAGTGTGTACTGATTATTGGTTTTTGTCTTTCCTTTTTCTGACAAAGAACATTAGAATTAGCTGTAGTGCTTTCCTGATATGCCCAAAATTGAATTAGCAGCATTTATCTTGGCCCACTGTATAGCAGCATCTTCTGATACAGTGTCGGGTTCATTTGTTCTCCAGTTGTTGGCAATCTGACATTTCCTTCTGTCATTGACAATATGTATTTTAGAGTCTTTATAGATCAAAATCTATGTCCAGATGTCTAGATTTGTAAAGATCACCTATTCCTAGAAGGTGATCATGCAGGAACATCTTCTGTGATTTTTTAAATTTGTTTTGTTTTAATATGTATAATTGTTCTACTTTTATTGTAAACTCAGTATTAAAATAAAAGAAGATGAGAGAATAGAAGCCTGAGAAGTCTTTTGCCAAGCTGGGAGATAATCAATGGTATTATATATGTATTATTGAGCTTGAATCAAGAGGTCTGAGGAGCTACAATGCAATTTAGAGCAACTGATGAGATTCTTGACATTAGTGTCTGTTACTCATTTTTTATTATTCCTTAAATCTGGTTGGGAACATATCTTTGGTTCTAAGCACCTGGATTATTTTATGTTATGTGATTTTTTTTGATCATTAAGATCAATTATGAGATTTCTGTTTACTTTAGTGGTGTGGGATTAAGGCTCCAGAAATTTAGCACTTCAAAAGAACAGGGAAAGTGGCAGTGTTCTGTCCATTTCTCAGAAGGAGAACATAATGAGAGAATTAGTAGATTTATATGTATAATTGGAAAAGAACATTTTTTTTTCAAGGTACTTGTACCATTGTGCAAGGGAGTTTGTCAGTTAAGTAAGTCAAGATTGCAGGGCTGGTAATAAAAACATAAGAATCGGGTTATTTCTGGGGTACAGATTTAGTAGGTCAGGACTGCCATTTCAGTGTGGGGATGAGTTTGTTTCTGTATGCAGCAGGCTGTTCTCCAGACTGCAAAATTCATGACCGCAAACGGCATGTAAGTTAACATGCCCTTGGTACAGTTTGCAGCAGAGGGCAAGGGAACCACAGGTGCTCCTCTCTCATTCTCTTGAGGAGCTTTTCTTACAGCACTTGGGCATAGAATCTTTATCTGCTCATTTTGTAGCTCAGGGAATTTGCCTGATCAATTTGTGATTGAACTGAACATATTGAGAGCTTCTGTTTTTAATATTGAAGGTAAAAAAAGTGATCTCTGCAAGTCTAAAAGTATGTGGATGAAATTGTGAGTAGAATGTTGGATGTAACATTCAGAGACAAGTCTACCATTTCGTGTTCTGCAACTGGTTTTAGTGAAGAGCTATTTCTAGCTGAAGTCCTTCCTTTGACTTTTGCTTACTTAGGTATTTCCACTTGACGATGAACTGACTGGCACTTGATGCAGGCGCTTGTGACATCCTGTGTCTGAGCCAAAATCGCTTGTCCTTTCTCTCTCATGCACTCTGTGCAGGTTTCCAGTGCCCGTGCATAAGCTACCTGGAGTTTGTAGATTCCTATTACAGCTAGACAATGACTACTGACATCCTGTGAATACTATACTATTTCCTAAGTCACTTTCTGTAATTTATTTATTCTTCTTTAATAAATAAATAAATTGGTGGCTGATTGGGAGTGGGGAAGAATGATAGTTACATACAAAGTGCGATTTAACGGCTATACAGACAGATTCTTGACTTCTGCCATATCAGTACTCATCTAGACAATACATCCTTATTAACAGAGGTATTTTTAGTACTTGGGAGACTTGCATAATTGCAGCTTGCGTTGCCTGTCATTAATAGGATGCATGTCGTAACCCTGATCAGCAATGATTGTGTCATTGCCAAATGCTTGTAGGCCCCATCAAATGAATTGAAATTAGTTAGTGGAGGGAATGTATAGATCTATGCAAAGCAGGCACTGGAGTCAAAATATATTAAAAATGTGGAGTTGTTAATTGGAAGTTGTATGGAGCCGGATACTTTCAAATTTGTCCTGCCATCAGGTTCTTTTTTTTTAGATTATGGAAATTTCTTAAACCAATAAATCCTGTTTCAAGTAGAAGTAGTTATGCAGAATGGGAAATTCTCTGTATCTTACATATACTATGTAAGTAGCTGTTCTAATTTAATGCTTGCTGCATGATTACCAGGGGTAATTTGAACAAGAGGAAATGATGTCTATAACAATAATTTAAACTAGAATATCTTAAAATTACATTATGGATAAAAAACCTAGTGTCCTGTGGATGTTTGTGCTTTCTTTTTGACACTGCTTTCACAGAATTCAGGTCAGTAATTCTCTCTGGGTATCCTATAAGGCAATATGAAATGGTCTAAGTGTGCTTGCAAAGCAAAGATTTAAAAAAACCAAACCAAACCAAAACAACTTCTCATCCTTCTGGAAATTTAGAAGAGAGTGGTAACCAAAGGTAGGATTAGAGGAGTGCAGCCCATCTTCTCACCACCTTGACTATCGCCAAACAGATGTGTTTCAAGTTATCATGAAGTACAGCAATCTATGGGCTACTAAAGATGTACTCAACACAGAACTGATGGTATATAAGAGATAGTAACTATTTGTGTCGTCCTGTAACACTAAGGAAGAATTGAATGTGAGCAGAATAGCCTATGCTGGTCACCAGTGGAGGAGTTCATGTTATGCAACACTAAAAACTTGGGGGTCTTTTGCAGTTCAGTTAAAAATCAGTTTGTGAATGTTGGTTTTGTAGCTTCTTGTTCATTCTTTCTCTTTCTTGATACTTTTCGTTGATACTAAGGCTTTCCTGAAAAGACTGGAAGCAGTGAAACCAACAGCTGGTATGAGGCGTTCCGAACAATTGATGGACTATCAGCGACAGATGAGTTATCTAAGTTCTTCACCTTCTGTAAGAAGAGGAAAATCTGCTTTCAGCCAGCTTAGTCCTTCACGTAAGTACATTGAAGTTGCAGGTTCTTGCATTTCTTTGCATCTGTTTCTTTTTATAGTTCAGAATTGAGAAGTACATACTGCTAAGAATAGAAAATAAATCCCTTTCTCTGCCTTCCTTAGATTGATCATTTATCACAGAGAGATCATTAAAGTGATTTTTTTTTCTTAATCATACCAAAAGTGCGATGAACATATGAACTGTTTACTTCCCATCCTAAATTTCTAATAAATTACCTTGTTAATCATCTTTTCCGAGAAGGTCGGAAAAAAATTCCTGTTGTAAAGAAATATTTCTCATTTCGCCAGTACCCTTTATTCAAAGGAGAAGGCAGGGGGGAAACCACCACAAAAACCCCAAAGAAGGTTCAAATTCTCATTCAGAAAATGTAAACCTTCTGATAGTAGTCTTGTTTCTCTTAGAAATTGTATATGTAATACTTGGAAGCAGCTCATGTGTCCCCGTAGAGCCATACATGTTGGATTAAAGAACCATAACACTGTGGCATAGACTTGAATTATTTGTCCTGACCATTTACAAATAACTCATAACATTTTGGGTTTGTGTTCAAATTACTGTGATTTGTTTTTTTCTGGAAACTATAGTAATGAGTGTTGTAGTACTAATACAGCATGAAGGTTTCTGTTGTACTGAGCATAAGCATTCTCACTGGGGTTTTTTCTGTGTGTGTGTTAACAGGAGGCACTTCAAGAGCATCCGGTGTACCAAGTGCAGTGAGCCAGAGGAACAAAAAACCCATGTCTGATTCAGCCAGTGGGGCATTACAGAGACCTAAACCCGCTAGTGTCCGTGCTGCTTGGTTATAAATGCATTCTTTGCCTTGCATTCTGAGATGATGCTCAGACTTCTATGTTCAGTGCTTTTGTAAATTCTGTGTGCAGAAATATTTTATGCATTGTTCAGTGATGAAAATATATTGCATATGGTATAATTGCTTATAAAATGGTTTTAAGTGAACACTTTCACTTCAGTCAGTGTTTTCCATGACAGGAAGAACTTATGAAAGAGAAGGAGGTATTTAAACAGACAAGTTAAATAGAAATTGCTAATTATTATTTTATTCTCAAATCGTAAGTGGAATTTGTATCCATAATGTGGAAGGACAGAATTGCTGCACTATAGGTACAAGATGTAAAGAAAACATTTAAAATAGTAATATTTAAAAATACTGTATTAAACTCATAAGCATATGCTTCATTCCTAGATCATTGCATCATTCCCACATCATGCTTTTCATCCCGGCTTTAGGTAAGCCTTCTGAACTTTGTGGGCCATGTTCTTAAGGACTGAAAGAATCTTCTTTCTACAGCAACATGAAGGAGCAAAAAGCAGATCGTGTATGCCAGCAGATAGGTTAGCTAGAATACTGAGGTTGCAGAAGATGTTGTTCTGTCCCTCTTGCACTCCAGGTGATGAACTTTTGTACTCAAGGCTGTGTCTCTTCCAGATTTAAAGAAAATTTGGAAGTTGTATTGAGACCTTTTGTGTAGGAAAGAAACATCTGATGCTATTTGAACAAGAGTAAAGACTGAAGTGAACAACAGTTTCAGATTCACTCTAAAAAAAGAGTAAGTTTTAGTTACTTCTCAAGCTAGAAAATACTAAGTAAGGGAAATACTTCATGACCGTGCTTTTGCAGATCTTTGCCCTTCTCAGTGGGGAGATACAAATTTGAGCTGCAGGAAACTTGAACATGTGATTTTGAGAGCGACTACTAACCAAGTTTAAAAAACAAACAAAAAAACCCCCAGAAAATCTAGTTATGCTTCTTAATCTGTTTTTTAATGTTGTGTTCATACCAAATATTTGTGGTAGTGTTAGATAAGCTTCAGTAGCAACATCCGTTTACAAGGGGAACAAACTTTAATTGAATTGCTAATTGCAAATAGTAGGAGGTATGCTTTATTTCTATACATAAAGGCAAACTTTCAGTGAGCTTATTTTCTAGTAGTCTTATAAAGAGCATAAATTGTGATGCCACTATCTGTGGATATTGCTGGAACCCTGCTTGCTTCCCCAGCTTCTTTCCAGGAGAGATACAGGAAATATCATTGTATTATGCATAAAGGAAAAAAAAAAAACCACAAAAAACCTGTATTCAGTAATTCTGGGTCTTAGCCCTATGAAAAGGAAAGTTTATTAAATATTCTTTGCTCGTGCTTGCATGAGGGCTTAGGCTTTCAGGTATTCTGCATTGTAACAAACCTTTTCCTGGGTCCTGTGTGATCGTTTGGCAGAGCTTCTGCACCTGGTGACCTGCGGATCCAATTCAGCTGTTTGACAATATTTGAACTTTTAACTTGAAGCAGCATTGTGGCGAACAGATTTTTATTGCAGTTTTGTTCATTGATAGGGACTATATGGAATTTTTTGCATAGTGCCGCTTTATTTATTTGTACTATTGTGCTAATTAAAATTATATACTATTTAATGATTTCTGTCCTTGAATGTGAATATCAGGGTCACAGTTTAAATACTTTTGAATGTTCATATGATAGTTTTCTGTGAAGGAATTAACAAAATTGATTACTTTTAATCACTTCATCTTATTTTATTTAACTTTGGTATGAAAGACTGTCAATTTTGTATGTCATTTTTTGTAAATCATAAGAAATAAAATATTTAACATTAATTGTTTGTCATTGCAATGGCTTCTTTCAGAATTTTGTAGTTGGTATTAAAGTGCAAAGGAGGCCATGGGAGATGTGTTTTGTACTACATACAGTGGAGGAAAATGGCAAAGAAAGGCCAACAGCATCCTGGTTTGTATCAGAAACAGTGTGGCCAGCAGGACTAAGGTAGTGATTGTCTCCCTGTACTCAGCACTGGTGAGGCTGCTCCTCGAGTGCTGCGTTCAGTTTTGGGCCCCTCACTACAAGAAGGACACTGAGGTGCTGGAGTGTGTCCAGAGAAAGGCAACAAAGCTGGTGAAGGAACTGGTGGTAAAGTCTTGTGAGGAGCAGCTGAGAGAACTGGGGTTGTTTAGTCTGGAGAAGAGGAGGCTGAGGTGAGACCCTATTGCTGTCTACAACTACCTGAAAGGAGGGTGTCGTGAGGTGGGGGTTAGTCTCTTCTCCCAGGCAAGCAGCAATAGTATGAGAGGTAATGGCCTCAATTTGCACCAGGGGAGGTTTAGATTGGATATCAGGAAAAATTTCTTCACTGAAAGTCTTATCAAGCATTGGAACAGGCTGCCCAGGGAAGTGGTGGAGTCACCATCCCTGGAGGTGTTCAAGAAGCATGTAGGTGTAGAACTAAGGGATATGGTTTAGCGGGCATGGTGGTGATGAGTTGACAATTGGACTGGATGATCTGAGAGGTCTTTTCCAACTTTAATGATTCTGTGATTCTGTGGAAAATGCAAAGAATCAGTTTATTCATTTATACACTTCACGTGTTAGTGACTTTGTGGGTTTTTTAAAATAAGCTATATTGACAGGTCTTCATTAAGTTAGATAATATCATCAAGATTTTTATAGCAAAAAATCCTCTTCATAATAGACTTGTTTTCTATCTTTTTTGTAAGCTGACACTTTATGTTCTCTTCTACTTTGTTCTTCTTTTTTCTTCTACTTTCTACTTTTTTTTTTTCCTACTTTTTCCCCTCCCCTCTAGAAAAACTCTGAAAGAAAAGTGCAAGCTGCTTTGCTTCCTCCTTAAATTGAACTGCCGCACTGGTTTGACACACGGTTTCAGGTAGGAGCCAGTCTGCCTGCTGAAGTGACAGGATTGCCAGTCTGGGAGACAGCACCGGCGTAGTGATCTCACTGCTATGTGAAATGGACCTGATGCCTCTGTCGTGCTTTTGATCTGGAAGTGTCCCTGCCTCATTGTAGGCTCTGTTTCTTCCAGGATAGAGTTCTGCTGTGTAATCTTTCTACAATAGTGAGGGTCTTAAAGACGACCTTAGTTCAGATCATTGACTATACGAGAAGAACAGAGAGTGATGATGCATCTCTGTCTGGGTAGGTGACATGTGAAGGGCGTTTTCCCAAGCAGACCACTGAATCTTTTAGAACTTGGTTTTAATCCCAGTGAACCTAAGAGAGTCAAGGCAATTTGGAAGAATCACACAAGGCCATTGCTCATATGGAATATACAGGCTTTCCCCTGTGCCAGAACCTCTCTTCTATCAGATTGATTGCAGTCATTGCTGAAGATCCTGAGGCATCTCCGCTGTCATCCTGCCACTCAGAGGAGGGTTTGTCTGATTGTCCTAAATAAAATGGCTGGCTGAATTTATGTCTTCTGTGATGTATGTAGACTTTACATTGGACTGTATTTTCCTGATTGTCATCTAACGAGTTTCAGGATAGACCCCTGTAAAAATTCTAAGACACTTTGTTCTAACAGGTCACCAATAACATTTTTATCCCTTTTCTTTGTTCTCCATTGTCCATAGACAAAAATTACTTCCTGCCTTCCCAACCTGGGCAGCTCATTGAGTCATCTGGCAGATGAGAGCTTGTGGTTTTCTCTGGAGTACAGTCTGCACATCAGTGTGATGGAGATGAGGGCATTGACTTACATCAAGCCTTCTAGCTGTGCAGTCATGACCATCATATGCAGGCAATGATGAATGCACAGTGATATATCAACAAGCCAAATGGTGAAGGAGGCAAAAAAGGCTCCTTCAGTACTGAAGTGGTATGTATATCTTACCAACCCAGTACACTGAGTACATCTTTGTAGTGTTTACCTGCTTGAAGTCTTGAGTTAAATAGTGGATGGAACCATGTCATTGTCACCTGATGAAAGAGGAAATACAGAAATAGAGAGCTGCATGTGGAGCCGTCTTCCAGGACTGAAATTATGTTGAAGTCATCCTGTTTCAGATATTGGCAGGGATTGCTAATGTCTGTGATACAGATCTGGTTTGTCTTCAGGATGCATGGTTGCTATGTGTCTCCTGGAAACTCTCCTGGCCAAGATGAGACAGGATTTGGCAACATTGATCCTTGTAGCTGTCACTTCTGGTTCCAGGACCACCTGTGTTATTTGCTGGAGAGCCCTAAAATGCCATTCTCCATGATTTTTGTTCTGGGCTCTGATTGTGTACAAAAATCATAGTTCCCTCCACTGTATTTTATGTGGTCAGATCTTGGAACAAAAATGACAGATCTCAATTCTCTCCGCACAGTGGCTCTCGGGACTAGAATCTCTCTATTGAGAGGTTTTTCTGGTTTACAGTGAGAGGGCCTTCACAAGGAGAAGACAGGTGGCTTAGATTTGCCACCCGGGGCATGATGGTTCTTTCCCTGACATCCTAGGTTGGTTAGTGGGACTCTCCATCTCCAGCTGAGATTATTCAATAACCGTAACAGAGTCATCCCTGCAGATGGAATGTTCTGGTTTTTGAACAACTAAGCAAGGGATTTTTCCTTCTGCTATGCTTCCCACCATGTCTTTAACTCTTCCCTGTGGCTTCTAAAGAATTGATGTCTGCTTCTTCCATGACAAGTGTAAGGCAGAGTGGAGGTTATCACCTTCAGAAAGGTGGGGAAGGTTCAGTCTGCTGTCCTAGACTCCCCCTCCCACTCTCTGCAGTAGGCTATGCTCTTTAGAGACAAGTTTGTCTTTCAGACCCACCTGAAGTTCCTAACTTCATCTCATTCAAAAGATCAGTTTACCTCAGTTCCCTCCCCAGGAAGTGTCCTTTCAGAGCTGGGCAGTACAGTATATGTTGCATGGTAGGTGAGCTTTGTCTTTTTATATTAATAGGATATATTACCAGGCTGTTCAGGGCAGGCTTCCCAGTGTTCAAGTGTGAGATACAAGGGAATAAGGGTTTTGATGCATAGTTTGT